CGCAGGAAACCAGGATGAGAGCCAGCGGGCACAGCAAGTGGCCTCACCTGGCCACTGACTTCTGAAACCAGCCCCAGAGGGATGAGGCATTCGGGTTCGCTGGCCTGCCCCGCTTCGTCCACAAACACGTGCGTGAAGTGTCCGACTCTAGAGCCAAAGGGGTTGTCAGTGGTCGCTCCGGCCAGGGTCTGCTCCGGGGCCTGGCGGGCCAGCCCAGAAAGCTGGCCCCCCCCCCGGAGGACCGTCAGCAGCCCGACTCTGCATCCAACAGGTATGCTTGTTTACAGAGACTCAGAGGGACCCGGGAGGTCCCTGAGAGGCCGCATGGGGTTCAGGCTGGCAGTGAGTGCTCCTGACACCCTGGTGTGGGCGGGAATGGGGGCTGATGCCATGCACGCCCGGAAGCAGAAAGCTGGCCTGGAGCCCGGCTGTGACCCTCGGCTCTGGGCCTTGGTTTCCCCGATGTGGCTGTGTGACAACGGGGAGAGCTGGTCCAGGTGGGCCCTGGGGAACGCTCCCACTGGGGGCTGCTGCCTCCACCTGCTTCTGCCAGGAGATTCACGCTCTCAGCTGGGACTGGGGATGGTGTGGGCTTCCTGGGGCCGTCAGCCCTCACCACGTCCAGCATCGCCCCACGGTCATGCCGGAGGAAGCTGGGAGCAGGGACATTGCACCAGGACAAACCCTGGGCGGAGCCGGACCCTCGGGTCTCCCATCCCCGTGAGACGGAGGCCCCAGTGCTGGAGGCTGTGGGGGCCCCTGCTCCCGTGGTGCCTGGGGCCGAGTGGGGCCCCGCCTGGCTCTTTCCATGGGCAGTCAGTTTGCTGTTTAAATGGGGGCTGAATCTGTAAATCTCAAGCTCTCACTCAGCCAGTGAAACCCACTGATCGATCCCTCCCTACGCAGGACAAGGAAATCGGCTTTCTACCTCATGTCCCAATTTCTGCTGAAAAAGTTTAACATCATGTATCTTAGAATATAAGCACGTAAGTTCTGTATTAACTATACCTATTTAGAATTATTTCTATCAGACGATATCGCCCCGTGTTCACGCCTCCTCAGCTTCCCACAGCCCTAAGACCCCACCCACCACGTGGTGGCCCTGACAGGCTCCTGCCATTGTCCTCTGGGCACCGCCTGTCCCTCCCCAAACAAGCTCCTCCTTGCCTAGGGCCCTGCCGCTGGCACACCAGCCCTCCGCCTGCTGGGGAAGTTGTGGGGCCCTCTCACTCACCTTTGGGGTCTCAGCAAAAACCTTACTTCCCTGGAAAAGCCGTCCCTGAGCCACTTGGGTCCCCTGTACTTTCGGCTCCCTTCAGACCCAGCTCCAGGGACAGAGACCTCCGTCTGTCCCGTGGGTCCCTGCGCCCCCAGCTGGCTCTCACCTCACCCCGATTTGGTAGAAGAGTCCGGCGCTGCTGCACGTGGTGACTATGATCCGGAAGCGTGAGGCTTTCCAGATGTCCTCCCCGTCTCTGCAGTACGGCCGGATGGCAGGGCTGGCTGTCTGGGGGAGCAGAGCCTGTCAGTCTTCCAGTTTTAAGTACATCTTTAAACCGGACGTGATGACAAAGCTCAGCGGCGTTCTCACCGACTATCCCCTAATGGTGACTAAGGACTTGAGATGTTCTCTTAAATCAAAACCTTGTTTTCAGATCAAGTCTCGTGGGCTCTAGAGCCTGAACTTGACTTAATCCTGCAGACCCTTCCCCAAACCACTTCATACGTTTTTCAGGCAGAATTGCTCTTGTTAATCAAGTTCCTTCTGGAAGCAAACCAGGGACTTTTCATTTTTCTACAGGGGTACTTGCAGCAAACCAATACGCAGGCCCTAAAGGAGACAATACATTTGGGGACTAAGAGGTGCGCTGGCACTCAGGGAAGCGGAGGACGCCCGATTCCTGGAGGAGACAGAGTGACTGCTGTTGGGGAATACAACTCTCACTTAACGAGTGGGGCACAGGGGACAGCGGTTTCTCTGTGGCTGCTTGGGACACTCACCTCCTCAAATCTGCAAGTGGCGTTCACGCGGACCATGGTGCCCGGCCGCAGCGCCCAGCTCTCGTGCAGCCGCAGACACACCAGGTCTGCGGCGCTGTTGGAGGGCGCACAGATCAGGACCCGACTGTCCGGGAGGGCGTGGTACACCTTCATCCAGGGATGGGAGACAAAGGGTGACACGTCAGCCATGAGCATGGACTGGAGGAGGGAGTGTGACACCCACACCCACTGGCTACTGTGGGGACCCGGCCACCTGAGCTCACGCCCACCCCCCCACATGCCTAAGACTCGGCCACCGAGGGCGCGATTGCAGGTGTGGGGCTCTGCGCTCTCTAAGACCCGAACGGTCTCCTGCACCTGCACATGTGCGCTAGCGTAAAAATCCTGAGCGATGCAGAAACACTGCCGACACCAGTGCACACTCAGCTGTGAGCATGGAGATGCCGGATCGGCAGAACGGCCGCGAGGCTGCTGGAAAGGGAGCTTCTCAGCGGCAGCCAGGCCCAGGCCCCATGAGGCGGCTGAACAGCTCACTGCTCTATGACACTCCTCTCTGAACCTATGAAACGGCCTTTGAAAATCCCAGTCACGTAAACACCACAGAACCAGCTTAGTAAACGGGAAACTAGTTTCCCTTACCACGTTTCTGATTCTACAATTTAAACCTGACACCAGAGACACACAGCAGAGCCAAGTTCACTGTTAACGGTGTGGCGGTCGTCACCTGTAAAACTGCCTCTATTATGGTCACTGTCTTCCCAGTTCCAGGAGGTCCGAAAAGAATGTACGGAAGCGGGCGGCAGTCCCCACTCAGGATTCTCCTCACAGCCAGCTTCTGGTTTTCATTGAGCACTGGATTGAAGAACTCCTTCTCGCCTGTGTCTGGGCTCTGAATCTCACTGGCTGTATTGGAAGTGGGGGACAGCGTCAGGCGGAGGGGATGGCCTGCAGCAGCTGAAGCAAACACACCAGCACCGGCGCAAATCAGCCACTGAGGCGGCTCCTGGGCGACCACTGGTGGTGCAGCAGCCAGAGGGTATTCCCTGGGGCCTGTCCGAGCTCCATCAGGTAGAGCCAGGAAGGCTGGTGTCCTGAGAGCAGAACCCCCCCACCCCCACATGTCGAGCCACCTGAGGCGCTGGAGACCCCCCCACCTTGGAAAAGGTTGACAGGAACGGCCACAGTCCTGTCTTTTGACCTAAACATCAAGTCTCCCGCCGTGACAAGAACCTTCGTTCACCTTTCTGGTCACACAACTGTCACAGACCACACAAGTCCCTCGCCCGTTTCACTTCCACAAGACAGCCAGCTTCTCAAGGGGCCCAGTCCCAGGCGCGCCTCCCGGCAGCGGCCCATGTAGCCCCCACGATACGTACCCAGCTGACTTGTCCCTGTAGCGAAGGCCACTGGTCCTGGTGTGCCCTGGGCACCAGCCTGCCTCGCCGGGGTGGCAGGCTTAGTTTGGTCCTTTACAGCTTTCCTATTCTAGAAATAATCCGGGAAAAAGAAAAGGCTTTAAAAAAAAATGCTTTGTGTTTACATGGACTTAAAGAGTAAATATAAACATTTGACAATACTGGTTTTATTTATTGAACAGCTCTTTGCATGGGTCACAAGTCATGCCCCCTTTAAAACACAATGAAAATACAGAATATCTTGATAAAAATCTGCTAAGGTTTATATTTCTTTTTTGAATTACCTTTAAAAATAAATAAAATTTTGTGATGGTGATACCAAGACACAGGATTGCATTTTATTTCACTCAGCGTGTATTCTCCCATGCTCACTCGCAGAGGCTGTGGGCAAGTCCAGGACGCTCGAGCCCGAGGACACCCAGCAGGACCCTCTCCAGGCGAGACCTCCACCCTAAGGTGTGAGAACCTCACACACCTTCCAGGTAACGCCAGGTGCTTGTGCTGCTTCCGTTGACTGTGTCCAACATCCCGCTCAAAAACCGGCTGTGTGTACGTGTGTGTGTGTGTGAACACCAGCTGAGTCTGTCTGTCCTGGGCCGATGGAGCTGTTGTCAGCTTTCCCATTACAGATACTGTGGCAACAAACAGCTTTGCACACAGGCCTTTGTGTAATCACGATTACTTTCAAAGGATAAATTCCAGAAGTAAAACTGCTTAAGTTTCACATGAGAAATTGCATGCCCAATGCTGCATTTCAGTCCTTTCCACTACTTCACGCGTTGGCAGAGTAGAGCTGACATACACCGAGGTGTGCACACTTAGTGTGTAACCTGACAGTCCTGACACATGTACATACCCATGAAGCCATGCCCACAATCGGAGACATGAACATGCCACCAAGCCCAAAGCTCCCCCGCTGTCACTCCTGTTTGGCCGACGTCTTTCATGCAGTGTCATGAACTGTGGAGGCCGAGAAGCCCAAGGTCCGGACTCAGCAAGCTGGAGACCCACCAGTGCAAAGGCAGGAGGCCCTCCATGAGCTTGGTGGCTCTGTTCAGGGCCTCCCACACGGGGCGGGGCCTCAGCCCGTCAGTCCACACACACCCAAAAACAGTGTGTGACCAAATATCTGGGCGCCGTGGCCCGAGCTGACACAGGACAGAACGTCAGTGACATTCCTGTCTCTCTGAATATCTGTAACTGCGGTGATGTCACCTCTCTGCCCTGACACTGGAGATTCGTGTCTCACTTTTCATCCCCGGTCAGTCTTGGCTTGAGGCTCAGCCATTTTACTAATCTCAAAGAACCAGCTCTGGGTTCACTGGTTTCTCTACAGTGTTTCCAATTTACCGATTCTACTCCAGTGTTTATCGTTTTCTTTCTTTGCTTAGTTTGGGCTTCACTTGTTCTTCTTTTGCTAGTTTTCTGAGGAAGATGAGGCCATTGGTTTGAAGCCTTTATTTATTTATTGTTTTTACTTTAGACATTTAGCGCTATACATTTCTCCTTACAGAGTACTTTAGCAGCATCTTACAATTTTTGATATATTGCATTTTTGTTTCTGGTAAAAGCACTTTCTAATTTTTCTACTGATTTCTTCTTTGATCTGTGGGATCTTCCTGCGTTTTGTTTCCAAATATTTGGGGATTTTTCCAGAGATCTTCATACTACTGAAGTCTAGTTTAATTTCATTCTAGTCAGAGAACTTACTTGGTATGACTTGAATCCTTTTAAATCTGAGACTCGCCTTACGGCCCCACGTAAGATGTACCAGGGTGAATGTTTCGTGCCTGCGTCTCGCGGGGCGGAGGGCTCTGTACTGTTCCTTAGGTCACTTCGGTTTTGTTGTTTGCTCTACGCCGCCTGTACTCATTTTCCATCATTACAGAGAGGAGTGCTGACATCTCCGACCTTCATGGTGAACCAGCCCATTTCTCTTTGCAGCTGTACCAGTTTGTTTCATGGAATTTGAAGCTGCTATTAGAAGCATGTGTGTCTAGGACTGTCACGCGTCCCTGGTGAAGTATCCTCTTTACTATTATGACATGACCTGAAATATACTTTGTCTGACATCAACATGGCCACTTTGCTTTTCTTTTGATTATCACCATCTTTCTTTTGATTATGTTTCCATCTTTTACTTTTAAATTAGTCATGCCACTTAACGACAGAGTACGTCCTGAGAAACGCGTTGTTAGGCAGTTTTGTCCACGTGCAGCCATCACAGAGGTGCTGACACAAACGTGGGTGGTGTGGCCCACTGCACACCTGGGCTGCCAGCCTGTGCGGCACTTTATTGGGCTGAGTCCTGTAGGCAGCTGTAACACCAATCGCAAGTATCTGTGCATCCAAACATAGAAAAGGTGCAGTAACAATACAGTATAAACATAAAAAATGGTCCGCCTGTTACGGGCACTTACACGAGTGGTGCTGGCAGGCCTGGCAGTGGCGAGCAGGTGTGAAGGCCTGAGGCATGCCTGTGCAGACTGGAGACTTTACAAACACGGACACTTAGGTGACGCTCAATTTATAAAACAATACACGATTAAATCAAGCACAAGAGAAAATGATGCAGAAAGAGACGGGGTAAACGTGAGATGGATGTGGCTGCCGCCTGGGTAACACCACCAACTGCTTCACAGCAAACTTGTTTTTTATTTTAA